CTACAACTCCCAAATGTCAAGATTCTATTTTCCCCCAAACTCCACCAGTGTTCACATTTGGGCATATTGAGTTTTCGTGTAGAGTTTGGTCCAGATCCATTATTGTTTACTCCCACAGTGATCTCTGGATGTAGGTGAACTACAACTCCAAAAGCAAAGGTCACTGCCCACCAATCCTTTCCAGTATTTTCTGTTGGTCATGGGAGAACTGTGTGCCAAGTTTGGTTCAATTCCATCATTGCTGGAGTTCAGAATGCTCTTTGATTGTAGGTGAACTATAAATCCTAGCAACTACAACTCCCAAATGACAAAATCAATTTTTTTGAGTGAAGGACATACATTGGGTTGTTAGGTCTTGTGTCCAAATTTGGTGTCAATTCGTTCAGTGGTTTTGGAGTTATGTTAATCCCACAAATGAACATAACTTTTTTATTTAGATAGATAGATAGATAGATAGATGAGAACCCGTATCAAACATCTAATATCACATAAACATCTAAACACATATCTTTTCCCCATCACTTCCAGATTGCTTTAGTGATGTTTTGTATTCCTTTTTTTGTATTACTTTGTCTTAATTATATTATTAATATATTATTTTAATATAATATAATATACATTAATATAATATAATTTAATATTAATTATATGATATTAATTATATTACATTATTCATGTTATGGCCCTAGGAACCAACAAGTCACCTTAAATAGACTTCCATCAAACTGGAGTAAATTTATTATTTTTTTTAAAAAAAGAAAATTTACAAATGATAATAAAAAGTGATTGTTTTATATTTGGATGAGATGTGTTTAATTGTTTATCTGTGTGGCATTACATTTTTAGCCGGAGTTGTAAGCCACTTTGAGTCCCCTCCAGGGTCAAGAAAAGCGGGGTAGAGATGAAGTAAACAAATAAGTAAATAAATAAATAATCAATAATAATGATCTCTGCAGGTCGGGGTGCCATGGCAGAAGTGTCAACCATTGTGGAGAAAGTCAAGGCAGTTTTGTCAGAATTGGATCTGCCTGACCAAAGCTGATCCCCAATTGAAGTTTCTAATATGGGGAAAAACATCAAGAAAAAAGTAAACACTACAAGCATGGATATAGCCCTGACCAGCTGTTTGGACACAGTTTTTACCTGGAGACATTCCGCTTACAGAATAATGGACCGGATTGTGGCACAGCTGGTTGGGAGTCAGCTGCATTAAAATCATTACTGACCGAGAGTGAGCTTCCGGCCATTTGTCTAGCTTGCTGTCGACCTTTGCATCCCGAAAGACAGTTGCATCTGTCAAGTAGGAAATTTAGGTACCGCTTATGCGGGGAGGGTAATTTAACTAATTTATGATGCCATAAAACTCTCCAGCAGCGTGCAAAAGAATGAGGAAGTACTCCATCGGTGTCACAAGTGGATGGTGAAGTGACAGCTCCCCCGGTGGCCGGAACTTCGAAGCATACCCTCATGAAGCTGGAATGTTAAATTCCTCTTTGTTATTATTATTATTATTATTATTATTATTATAACTTTATTTGTACCCCGCTAGCATCTCCCGAAGGACTCGATGCGGCTTACATAGGCCAAGGCCTCAAAACACAATACAACAATACAATACCTAGAGCAAATTAAAAACAGTTAAGCAGAATAAACAACAGCAATAACAATACATCGAGACATCAAGACACTATAAAACTGGGCCAGGCCAGAGAAATGGGTACAAGATTAAAAGTGCTGATGTGGTATGTCTAATGGCATTGACTATTTGCTATGTCTATGTGCATTGTGATCCACCCTGAGTCCCCTGTGGGGAGAGAAGGGCGGAATAAATGCTGTAAATAAATAAATGATAAATAACACACCTCAGCGCGCAATTTGGCTGCCTTTTGTGCTATCTTTATCTGCATTTCTTTCTTGAGAAGTCGATATTGGCATGGGCACCACAGGTCATAGGCTGCAATGGAGTGAAGGCCTGCTGGTGTGAAGCATTAATATTTTTCAAATGGCAGGGATCACATTTCTTGCTGCCTCCGTCATGTTTTCCTTTTTCCTTCCAAGTATTTGGGGAAAGTGGGGATGAGGAGGAGCAGGTTTCCCCCAGCGGCAACATATTGTGAGCTGTAATAAAAAGTCTTCTGGAGTTTGATTGCATGGACAATTGAAAGCCTTAGAAAAGACCTCCTGGCCATCGTGAAAACTCCAGCAACTGCGTTTATTGATGGGGATCAACGCACCTGCTGCCAGTTTTGGATCCTCCTTGCAGTTCATGTCTTTATGGATTATGGTGATGATCAGCTGTGCTTCGAGCTGTTGGGAGGTGTTAGCTGGCCCTGATTGTTTCATGTCTGGAATTCCTCTGCTAACAACTCCCAACAAAGGATTCCCTCGAACAGGAAGCAACCAGACTTTGAAGCTGCAAGGCGATTCAGTGTTAACCAAGGTGGCCATTTGCAACATTCACACTTGCCTCCAACAGACAAGAGTCCTTTCTTACACCCTGGACATCATTCCACAGACCTCACAACCTCTGAGGATGCCTGGTGTAGATGTGGGTGAAACGTGAGGAGATAATGCTTTGGAACATGGCTAGACAGCCCAGAAAACTCACAGCAACCTAATGAATATTATGATACTTCTCTGCACCCTTGAATTTTCCTCCTTTCCTTTCCAGTCCATCTTAACTTAGGCTTCCCCCAGGCTGGAAGCAGCCAGGCTTTGAAGCTGCAAGGCCATTCACATTTGTCTCAAGCAAACAAGAGTTCTTTCTCCCACCCTGGACATTATTTCACAGATATATAAACCTCACTTGCCTAGTTTCCAACAGACCTCACAACTCTGAGGATGCCTGCCATAGATGTGGGTGTCAGTAGAGAATGCTTCTGAAACATAGCCAGGCAGCCTGGAAAACTCACAGCAACCCTGTTCATTCTGCATTTGAGGGAATTGATCCCCATTCCTGCCTCATAAATAGAAGAGGGAGGTGATACCCTAAAGAATCTTTGGGGTGTTATTTTTGTACTTTGTGTTTGAGAGAAGGTTGTGTTGCTTGAGGAGATAGCTGGGAACAGACTCTCCAGAAAGTGCCTTTGTTGTTGTGTGCTTTCCAATCATTAGCAACTCAGTAGACACATTGGGTCGCCATGGCTGAACAAGGAGTCAAACCTAGAGTTGTCATCTTCTGGGCAGGCCCTGTTCTCGCTCCTGCCGTCTTTGCAGTTGCCGTTGGCAGGGGTGAGAGACAGGGCCTTCTCAGCGGTGGCCCCTCGGTTGTGGAACTCCCTTTGCGAGCAAGCTTTTGCAAATGCAGTGTAACTGGCAAATTTAGACCCACGGAATGACTGGACGATGCGACTGGAAAATGTTTTTAGTAATGAGACGTGGAGGACTTCTGTTTTTACTGGTTTTATATTATATGCTAATTGTTTTTAATGGTAAT